GGGGCGAATCATTGGCCCCCACGGAGAGAGTTCGCAACTTGGGCATCCTCCTGGATTCACGGCTGTCTTTAGAAGAGCATTTGACGGCCGAGGATTTTTCATCAGGTTCGCCTGATTCGCCAGTTGCGTCCCTTTCTGGATCGGGACTCCTTACGCATGGTCACTCATGCCCTCGTCACTTCCCACCTGGACTATTGTAATGCTCTCTATATGGGGCTCCCCTTGAAAAGCACCCAGAGGCTCCAACTGGTGCAGAGTGCGGCCACGCAGGTGGTAATGGGAGCGACATGGCGTTCCCATGTAACACCTCTCCTGCGTGATCTGCACAGGCTCCTGGTGGTCTTCCGAGTGCGCTTCAAGGTTTTGGTTACCACCTTTAGAGCACTCCATGGCTTAGGACCTGGTTACCTATGGGACCACCTACTACCACCAATAGCCTCCCACCGGCCGGTATGCTCTCATAGAGAGGGGCTCCTCTGGGTACCATCAGCCAAACAATGTCAAATGGTGGCCCCTAGGGGGAGAGCCTTCTCTGTGGGGGCACCTACTATCTGGATTGAGCTCCCCCCCCCCGGAGATACGGAGGATCCCGGATCTGCGTACCTTCCGCCACGCTTTGAAGACCTTTTTATTCCACCAGGCGGGCCTGGCCTAATCTTTTCCCTCTTTTCTTTTTAATATGCAAATTTTAATCTGTTTTTTAAATGATTGGGGTGTTTTAATTTGTCTGGGCCAAATTGTTTAATTCGATTTTATCCTGTTTTTAAATTTTGTATTTATGTATTTTACTGTTTGGTTGTTCACCGCCCTGAGTCCTTCGGGAGTAGGGCGGTATACAAATCAAATAAAGATAAAGATAAAGATAAAGAAAAGTCACTTGCTCCTGGGGAGGAAACCTGTGGCAAACCTAGACACCATACTAAAAAGCAGAGACATCACGTGCATATAGTCAAGGCTATGGTTTTCCCAGTTGCAATATATGGCTGTGAAAGTTGGACCATAAAAAAAGGCTGAGCGCCAAAGAACCTTTGAACTCTGGTGCTGGAGAAGACTCTTGTGAGTCCCTTGGACTGCAAGGCGATCAATCCAGTCAGTTCTAGAGATCAACACTGAGTGCTCTTTAGGAGGCCAGATCCTGAAGATGAAACTCAAATATTTTGGCCCCCTAATGAGAAGGAAGGACTCACTGGAGAAGAGCCTAACAATTTACCTAATTTTGAAGTATTCAAAATATTGTGGCCAAAAGTAGGTGTATAGAGCACTTACTAACGTCCCCTATACCGGGTATAAAGATAGATCCTTCATATTCAACTGTATTGGAAGTACCATTTGCTCCTGTAATAGAAATATTGGTTGGGTGAATATCATATAATATGGATTTGTTATTGGTGGTATGGTGTATGCTTCCAGAATCGATGACCCATAGGTGTGTGGTGTCACGCAGGTATTGTTGGGTGTTGGGAAAGATGCCAAATGTTTGGGATTCGGAGTTAGAATATATAGATTGTTCAGTATGTTGTCCCCTTCTGTCTTTATAATCTTTGTGTGTGGGACCCTTTCTAATGTAAAATTCAATGGGCATGGATCTTTTAGGTTCAGTATGTTCTTTGATAGTATGATTTCTTTTGTTAGTCTTGTCTGTAGGGTTGTATCCCCTTGTATCATAAGTATGGGTGGTGTTGTAGGAGGATGGGAGTTGTAGGTATGATAATGTCTTCTATAGTTACAATAATTAAAATTATTTTTATATTGAGAGGGGTGTTTCTGCCAGTTTTGGTAGAAGGGTTTGTGTGAAGAATTTGAAGGATGGGAATCATGTTTAGGGTAAAAAGGGTGGTCAAAAGAAGTAGGGTATCTATCAATATGATAGAGTCTTCTATCTTCATCTATTAATTTGGATTTGATTTCAACAACAGTGTAGATGTGGGGGGGGGGTTAAGGAGTGGAAACTATTAATGAATGCTGACCAACCAGGGATGTGTTTAATAGAATTGAAAATGATACCAATCATGGCAGTTTCAGGTACAGGATGATTGCGTTGAATCAGTTGTTTTCGCATGGATTCGAGGCGGAAAAGATGTTTGGCCATAGATATGCCAGGTTTATATATGGTGCTATAAAAGTCACCGGCAAGAATAGCAATAGTTGCAGGCGAGGGTTTGTTGTAATGTTTTTGTAAGTATTGCCATACTTCTTGTGCAGTAAAACCTGTAGGTATAGAATGAACAATATCACTTTCTAAAGTTGACATAAGAGTGGCATAAACACTATTGTGAAGAAAAGTTAAGTCAGATGACCAAGGCTTATTAGGGGGAGATTCAATTATAAGAAATGTGCCTTCTCTTAAAAGATGTAAATGAGTTTCTTGTTCCCAAGTAGGGAAATTATTGCCTGAGGTTTGTAATTTTTGAAGTTTGGTGATAAAGGTAATGGGCCATGTTGTTTAAAATGTTGCAAAACAGTTTCAATTTCTAAAGATAAATTTACATTAGTAGATAAAGACAAAGAATTATTAGTTTCAATATTTAAATCATTACAGTTTACAGTAATACAAGGCTGAAATGAGTTATTGACAGCAGAGATAGGTAATTGAAAGTCGGATTGTTGATTGGAGTTGTTTGGTGTGAGAGAAGATGTTGTAGGTGATTCAATGATAGGAGGAATAATGGAGGTGGGGTTGTAGTTTGATTCGGAAGAGCTGCTGCGATGGCGTCGGCTGCTGTAGAAGGTAGGTTGGCTTTTGATGCAAAGGCTGCAAAAATCATGTGAATTTGTTGTTTGGACGGGGCATCTGTAGTGTTGGAGGCGGCAGCGGCAGCGGCGGCATCTTTGGCGATAAGGGGGGGAGCGAGGCGGCGGCTGCAAAGACTGAAAAGGATCTTTTTACATTGGAGACAATATTGGTATCAGTAGAAATATTTGCAGCTGCTGCAGCTGCAGCAGTATAGATGGGGAGGTCTGCAGCGGCGGCAAAATAGAAAAGTTCTGAAAATTGTAAAAAAAATTGGGAGGATTCAAACTCGGTGCTCTGGATGAAGAAGGTAGGAAATCAGTCTGAATATCTCCAATTGTGGGGTGGGTAGTAGGATGTATGGGGGTAAGGGGGTTGGTTGTGTTAAGTTGTATAGCTGAGGCAAGGACGAGGCGACTGAGGCATGAATTAACATTATTTATTAACAGGAACCAACAGCAACAGTAACGTAACAGAACTGCTTGTCTGTAGATGACAGCTCTTTTATACTCTGAGCTGTCAGCTAACTACCCAATCAGAACAGTCAGAACTCCCGCTTGTTTTCAGCCACTCCTCCTAGCCAATCCCTAGTCAGCGTTCTTGTTGTCAAGCCTCGGTGAATCACAACAGGTTGAGAGCTTGTGGTCTGAAGTAGTACATGTCATTTTGTTTAAAATGTAGTCATATAAATTGTCGGCCATTTTGTGGACTGCATGGTGGAGTGTGGGGGCGGCCATTTTGTCGGCCATTTTTGAAGCCATGCTTTCGGGGAAGGTGGAAGCCATATTGGAAGCAATAAAGTCAATAGGTGGGGAGGGAGGATTTTTAATATAATGGGTGTTTGAAAAGTCAGTCTGGGAATCTATGGGTTGAAGCAAAAAATTGTCGCTTACCAGGTCTGGTGAGGTTGAAAGGGTGTTTAACAGTTCAAGAGTTCTTTGAGGAGTCCAGCCTGCATTTAGTAGGCCTGTCGCATATAAAGCTTGATATAAATGCCGTTTTGGAGAAGCTTGAGAAAATAAAAGTTGGTTTGAAGTTATAGGGTTAGAACATACAAGGGATTCAGAAGATTGAAGTCCTTGATGATAGTCATGAGGTGGAGTAGAATTGAGATCGAAGCAAGGTTGTTGTAAGTGTGGTTCTGTTCTTTCGGTGTTCGGGTGAAGAGGAGAAAAAAAAATTGGGTCCTTTCGTAAAGAGGTTTGTACTTGCTGCGTAGCTTCAATAGAAAGTTTTTTTAGTCTTTGGATAATGATTGGTGCTGTTTTGTTAAGGATACGGTTAATGCATCAATCTCTTGTAAAGATAGTTCGTTCAGGTTCAAGAATTCCATGTTAGGAAAAATCGTTCTATGATTTTAAAATTTACAAAAAAATCATAGACCTGAGCAATAATTTTTCATTGTCTGCTACCATTTATCAGATATATATTGATGGTCGTGCTCACTTGGTTCTATGAGGAAGTTATTTGGTCAATACAGCTTCAAAAGGTTGTTTTTATTATTTACAAATATATACATGCATACGATAATGAACAGGGTGTCCTGTTACATTTTTACCCTAACTGTATGACTCAGATGTTGAGAGGAGAGAGAAGTTCACGTGTTGTCTTGCTGAGTGATAGATGAGAGAGAGAGAGAAAAGAAAAAAGGGAAGATATCCAAGTGGTTTCTAGGTAAGAGTCCAATAAGAGAGTTCATTGGCTGATATAGTCACATGTGATGTCTGTAAAGACTTAACCCCTTCTAGTCTCTGGTGCATCATATGCAGGCAATATCTGACAAAGAAGAAGGGGACGGCAGAGAACGAGGTGGCTGGATGGAGTCACTGAAGCAGTAGGTGTGAGCTTAAATGGACTCCAGAGGATGGTAGAGGAAAGGAAGACTTGGAGGAACGTTGTCCATGGAGTCGCAATGGGTTGGACATGACTTCGCAACTAACAACAACAGACTAGGATACTGATAGCAAACCTTTTAGGCTCAAAAATTCAGAAAATATCTAACTTTAGTCTGCTGCTGCTCTTTATTTTTCTCTCTCATCAAACAAAAGAGAGACAATTCTTTATTTCCCTCTGCCCAAACAGTGAACAATGGCAGTTGGGGGCAATGCTGAGGCTGGGGCTGAAGTAGAGGTCCAGGTCTCAACTTCAGCCCAGGCCACTGCTGCTCCTGAAAAAGGCCATTTCCCACCATTCCCCAAGGAATGCAAGCTTTGAGGAATGACACAATTGTCAGTTTAGGGCTCCCCAGGATTTGCCATGTGCCACTTACCTTCAGTGGTGTTGTCTTTCTGTTGACAGGCCCCTGCGGCCTACCTGAGGCTGTTCTGGGTCATATGAGGCCTTCGTTCTTGAAGCAGCTTCAGAGAATGCTCTTCCACAGCCTCTGTCGCCTCCAAAAACTGAGGAAAATCCTGCTCTGTTCTCACATGACTTTCTGTCAGGTGCAAAGAATCAGGGCCATGTGTTCAGTTGCAGTTCACAAGATTTATTGCTCACACCTATACATCAGATTCTAATCAATTGAAGTTCAATATTAAATTGGTGCCAGATCAAGGTCAACTCAAGAAGAGTTGGATTTAGACCATTTGTGGGAATGAAATGACTCTAGGCTGATGGCTCATTTAACTCTGTCCTCCAGCTCTGCCTCATTTTTTTCCTACATTTTCAGGGGTTTCTGAAGTCACATAAGAGCACAGCTCTCTTGAGCAACTTCTGGAGGCTAAACAAGTGCACATCTCATTTTCATGAGGCTCCCTGGACTCAAAAAAAATCACACAAAAAATGGGGCATCCATTCAAGAATAGTTGTTGGGTGTTGGTAAATGCTGGTGTGTCAGCCAAAACATTGTAGCATGTCACCTTGGATACGCGTGTAATAGGTTTGCCATCACTGGACTAGAGCATTCTGGTCTATGCGGTGTATTACTTTAGCTTCACTCTTTAAAACCAAGTTGGTTGGATTCACACATCACACAAGGGCATATTTCATAGATCACCAGCCCTAATAATTGAATACACCCAAATCAAAGAAACTGTATTATAGCAAGTGAAGCAGGGCATTGTGAATAGAAACTTTAGCTATCAGTCAAAACTACAATTCTTTGGACCCCTTTCAGGGAAATCTGGATACAGAACTAAATCAGTACTTATTGTAATGTTATATTATACATCCATAAAGTTACTGTTAGTATTATATGCTGCTAGAATAGCCTTGACCGAAACAGTCAAGTAAAATAAATAAATCACCCTTTGCACACATTCATTATTTCTGTTTTATATTTTCAGATCCCTCCCTAAACTTTTTGAGCGGCCAGATCCTATTGTAATCTGGACTTCTCCCAAATCTTTTACAGTCTCTCCACTTATTTATGCACGGCATTGACTCCAAACCACTGTTCTAGACGGGACTCTAAAGAAATTGCAATCTTGCCCTATTTTCATATGGCATTTCATTTCAACACCGAGAATGCTTTCTTTGTGGAGAAAAAAATAACACTAAAGAAATTTACAAAGCAGACCTGGGAGCTCATAATTTAATCTGAAGTCAGGGCACCTTGTAAATTCAGCAAAAATTAAACGTATATTATATGCACCGTGTCCTGCAGTTCCTGTGGTAGTAAGACTGCACTTTAAAATGCTGCAAGGTTGAGCTCTGGGATTACCCAGTAATTTATCATTTCAATAGAATCATTCAAAGCACTGCAGTGCAGAGGTGTAATCCCTCACCTACATGCCCCAAGCGAAGAAAAACAATTATAATTGTGAGTTTATTGTAGGGTATAAAAACAGAAAGGAAGGAAGGGAGGAAGGAATGGAGGAAGGAAGGAAGGAAAAGAAAGAAAGAAAGAAAGAAAGAAAGAAAGAAAGAAAGAAAGAAAGAAAGAAAGAAAGCAAGCTCATCCAGTACTTTGTTGCAGAGGTGAAATATTCTGCATACTGCATTGAGAACTGCAGTGCTTAAGGGTGGGAGAATCAGCCTAATGAGATATCCCTATACAGATGATTAGCATGGGTTTATATAAAAAAAATTCTAGCCATCAGCCTTAAAAATATTTCTTGTAAAACAATTATTTAATCAAACTTTGTGATCTCATCCACAGCTAAAAAAACTTTATTTTACATATTATTTTAACTGTTCCATTAATAGCATCCAGTTCAACAGAAATCTGGAAGGGTTCCCATCCCATGGATAATCAATTCTGATGCAGTGTGAAAACAATAGAAAGGAAGGCAAGGATTACATCACAGAAGGAGGCTTGTAAACATAAATGAAGGGTGAATCAAAGGAAGTCAAGAGTCTTAACAGAAAGCATTTTGCTAAAATGTTCTGATATTTTAATCAAGTCAACTCTGAAGGAGGATTATACTATGCCAAAGGTCCAGTACCAGCATGTTAGAAAGCTGTTCCTTTTTATAGGGAATAAGAGCTCCCTTTAGTGTTCAGATATGGGATGACACTTGAAGCAAAGTCTACCCCATGTAAGCATCAACAGGGATAAATGCTAGCAAAATTGTATGAAAACCCATGCTCGCTTTTCCTAAAGCTAAATGGGTTATTTCATAGCAGTATCAGGAACATTCCTGGCAAATAGATGGAGAAGAAATGGAGGTAGTGACAGGTTTTATTTTCCTGGACTCTGTGAAAGTTGGACCATAAGAAAGGCTGAGCGCCAAAGAATTGAGGCCTTTGAACTCTGGTGCTGGAGAAGACTCCTGCGAGTCCCTTGGATTGCAAGGCGATCAAACCGGTCAGTCCTAGAGATCAACACTGAGTGTTCTTTAGGAGGCCAGATCCTGAAGATGAAACCCAAATATTTTGGCCACCTAATGAGAAGGAAGGACTCACTGGAGAAGAGCCTAATCCTGGGAAAGATTGAGGGCAAAAGAAGAAGGGGACGGCAGAGAACGAGGTGGCTGGATGGAGTCACTGAAGCAGTCGGCGTGAGTTTAAATGGACTCCAGAGGATGGTAAAGGACAGGAAGGCCTGGAGGAATGTTGTCCATGGGGTCCAATGGGCTGGACACGACTTCGCAATTAAGAACAAGAAATCAGGAACATATAGAAAATGTAATACAGGCAGCCCTCAACTGACAATGCTTTGTTTAGCGACTGAAATTACAACAGCACTAGAAAAAGTGACTTACGACTGACTGGAAAAAGTGACTTTCCTCGCACTTATGGCTGTTGCAGCATTCCCACAGTGAATGTGATCCAATTTGGGAGCTTGTCAACTGGCATGTATTTACGATGGTTGCAGCATTCTGGGGTCATGTGATCACCATTTGAGACCTTCTCACTGCTGACTACAAAATCAACGGAGGAAACTAGAGTTGGGTACCAACTGCATGATTCACTTAACAACTGCAGTAATTCACTTAATGACAGTGGCAAGAAAAAGGTGGTAAAGTCAGGAGCTACTCATTTAACAACCATATTGCTTAGCAATGGCAATTCTGGTCACAATTGTGACTGTAAATCAAGGACTACCTGTATGTATACGATGCTGGGGCTCAACAGAACTACATTCAGTCACCTCACTGGTTAAATAATTGAGAAAATTTAGACTGCCAACTAAATAAACCCAAATTGTGTATCATATATTGGAGATGCATATACCTCCAACATATGTACAGAGTCTCAATCACAACTCCTACAGAATATTTACAAAGTGGAATATTTAAGTCAGCATAATTAGGAAATGTGTAATACCGGACAGATGGCGTGAGGTAGCAGCTGCAAAAAGATTGAAAAGCCACAGAAAACACAACAAACACACTCTTGCTGAAAAGCAAATCTCAAACGTAACTTGCAATTTGATCTAATCATAACTGGGAAAACATTGGCTAATAGTGTACAGTTCAAGTTCTGTAAGAAGTGAAGTAGGGATTCTAACAGTGGAAAGAAAAGGGGAAAAAAACATTCCTGTAAAATTTTTTGAAATATCTGTGCATGTTTGGTAGAAGTCGAACAGAGCTAGTGTCAGGCCTGGAAGCCATCTTTTTCGTTGGATCTTCAGGCCTGCCACATTTACTACTGTGGGAAACTGGGAGGGGGAATTATATGGAGCCAGGGTGATATATAGTCATAATAACATTCCTTTCTCAGAGAGTCAAGGACATCTTGCCCTGCACCTGGATGGCTGGAACTGGGAAGCATCTCCAGTTGGGACGATGCTTTAATTGCACCATGTGATGGACATGTGGGTGTTGGGCACGGACTTGAACTTTCCTTTGGGTGGGAAAAACCTGGAACCTCTCAGATTTGGGTTTCCCCAGATGTGCCAATATGACATTTCTAATAAAATGGAACTTTGAGCAAACTCAAGCCTCAGAGTTTTCTTTCGTTGGGGGTGTTACTTGGAACCCTGACATTAACCCGAATCTCACAGTTAGAGGGAAACAAGGGATACCAGTATTTTCAGGAAAAGCTTGAGGTTTCCAGAATTTTTTTTTTCCTTTTTAAAAAAGCTACACAACTCCATGGGGAGAAAACATCTCTTCCTCTTCTTTTCCAAAGCATTGAAAACGATGGAACATTGGCTGTCAGTTAAAACAGAAAGTTTTTTTTTAAAAAGATAAATGAATCAACTCATCTCAGTTCCAAATAATTTGTAGAGTGGCAACATTCACTGATACTCTTCACATAATTTGGTTTTTCACACTTACAACTGCTACATAGGATGTAAAGCTTGAAACATGATACTGACTGTGGATCACCTCGTGATCGGCTGTAAACTGAGGCCATTTACCGATCCTGTGTCTGATTTTTTTTAATATAAGCGATGCTGCGCTTCAGTGGTTAGATAGCCTAGACCCATGATAGCGAACCGATGGCATGCGTGCCACAGCTGGCATGCAGAGCCCTCTCTGCGAGCTGTTACCCAGCTCAGCTTCACTGCGCGTGTGCATTTGCAGCCTCCCGCCGGCCAGCTGATTTTTGGGATATGAGGAGGGTGGGGCGCATGCAGATGTGCGCGCATGCAGGGGGGTTGTGCGCCCATGCGCAGGGGCGGGGCAAAGCAGGGGGTGTGTGGTATGCCCCCCAGCCCATTTTTGGGCCCAGGAGGCTGCAGGGAGGCCTGCTTGGCCAAAAACGAGGGGCAGGGGAGTTGCACGCACATGTGCGGGGAGCATGGGGAGGTCGCATGCACATGCATGGGGCGGCACATTGCATTATGGGTGCCGGCATGCAGGTACACTGTCGGCACATGACAAGAAAAATGTTAGCCATCACTGGCCTAGTCAAATGAATATGACTCTAGTTAAATGAATATGACTCTAGATGAGTTGCAATGCAATTGGCATTTGAACATAGATTTTTAAATATATATATATATTATTACGTTTTACTAATTTAGATGAAATGTTAATATATATTGCTAGCCCATGTATGATATGCTATATGCTAAATAAATAAATATGATACTGACTGGTGAGTGCAGAGCTGATATCCAAAACTAGATTGCTGAAAATCACCTTCTATTTTTCACCTGTATCAGAGCTAAAAATTAAATTTTTAATGTATTTTAAAATTATGGGTTTTTTAAATTATGGGTATTAATTCAGCCAAATTTATTTAATTCATTTTATTCGATTTTAAATTTTGTATATCTATGTGTTTTACTTCATGGCTGTGCACCGCCCTGAGTCCTTCGGGAGTAGGGCGGTATAGAAATTCAATAAATAAATAAATAAAAATAAATAAAATAATGGCTAAGCTCTTAACAGTTAGGGATTATGAGATGAAGATGCTCTGTAGCATTTTATTGCTGCAAATTCAAATTCAAATTCTGGTGTGAGGCACTAAGAGAGCAGAACAATTGGTAGACGAATGCAGAGACTACAGCTGATCAAAAATTACATGGACAACCTGCCACCTAGAGGTAGTCCTCAATTTACAACAGTTCGTTTAGTGACCGTTCCAAGTTACATTGGTATTGAAAAATGTGACTTATGACCATTTTTCGCAATTACCACCTTTCCAACATCCCCACGGTCGTGTGATCAAAATTCAGATGCTTGGCAACTGGTTCATATTTATGACCGTTGCTGTGTTCCAAGATCATGTGATCCCCTTTTGCAACCTTCTGACAAGCAAAGTCAATGGGGAAGCCAGATTCACTTAACAACAGCATTACTAATTTAACAACTGCAGTGATTCACTTAACAACCGAGGCAAGAAAGGTCATAAAATGGGGCAACATTCACTTAAATGTTTCACTTAACAATAGAAATTTTGGGCTCAGTTCTGTGGTCCTAAGTCGGAGACTACCTGTAGCCTGGTCCCATAGGGCTTTATAGGTCATTACCAGTCCCTGATTTGCACTGGGAAAAAACTGGCAACCAACGCAGCTTGTGGGGCACAGATCAGTGGTGGGTTCCTCCCGGTTCTGCCGAGCCGGCAGCAGTGATGATATGACATCACCAAACCAGTTCTGCCCCCCCCGGCCCCACCCCCCCACGTTATTCTTACCTTTTATTTGGCCCCACCCCCAATCTATTGCTGCCTCCTGAGTCCCAACTGATGGCTAGAGGGAAAAAACCTGTTTAAACTCTTGGGGCTTCAAAGGGCCGCCCTACAGCTGATCAGTGTTAAAGAAAACAAATGAGTAGGCTGGTGCCTGCAAAAATAAATGGGTAGATCAGTACAGCTCTGCAAGCAGTTAAAAGCCTGGTAGACCAGTACCTCTGCTAAATCCTAAATAATTGTCACATGACCATCAAGTCACGCCCACAAAATAAGCCACGCCCACAGAACCGGTTGTAAAAAATTTAGAACCCACCCCTGGCACAGCTGCAACAGTCCCAGATCGAGGCTCGTTGCATTTTGCACCAGCTGGACATGGACGCTCTCTCAGGGCAGCACGATTTCCAGCCCCTATCAAATCATATGCGTGCGTGCGGCATGGCACACGGGTAGTCCTCGACATACGACCACGATTTACAGAGATATCGCTGGGCTAAAAAAATAAAGAGGGCGAATCCGTCCCAGTTCATTCCATTGACCCAATCGGCACCTCAACCGCCGGAAGCTCCTCCCAGCTCGCCGCGTGCGGCCACGCCCTCTCCCGGCGCGCGAGCGCCTTCCCTTTCTCTTTGCATTCCCCGCGCTTGCCCCTCCAGTCGCCGCCGCCTGGCGGAAGCCCCGCCCACTGGATTCTCTCCGTCACTTCCGCCCGCCGAGCCCCGCAGTCCCAATATGGCGGCGCCCTGTGGCTCCTCACAGCTCTCCACCGCCGAGTCGCCGCTCAAGATCCCCAAGATGGAGGTGCTGTCTCCCGGCTCGCCCGGAGCGCTGAGCGACGGCAACCCCAGCCTCTCCGACCCTTCCACGCCCAGCGGCGCCTCCCCGTTAGGCCCCGCCGGAGCGGGGTCGGTGACGGCGGCGGCTACCTCAGCCGGGGCCGGTGCGGGGGGAGGCGGCGTCGGGGCCTCTCCTTCCGTCTCCTTCTCCCCGGGCAGCAGCGCCGCGGCGGCGGCGGCGGCTTGCCGAGGGATGTCGTGGACGCCGGCCGAGACCAACGCGCTGATCGCCGTGTGGGGCAACGAGCGGCTGGTGGAGGCGCGGTACCAGCAGTTGGAGGGCGCCGGCACCGTCTTCGGCAGCAAGGCCCCCGGCCCCGCCATGTACGAGCGCGTCTCCCGAGCCCTGGCCGAGCTGGGCTACGAACGGACCCCCTCGCAGTGCCGAGAGCGCATCAAGGTAGGTAGCGCGGCCGACGAGCCAGGGATGCTGAGGACGCTGAGGCGCTCTCCGGGGAAGCCAAGCCCCCTCCGTCCTTCCCTCCAGCCCCGTCGAGGCTGTTCTGCCAGCGGCCGGGGGGCTTTCTCCGAGGATGCGCGCCCCTTTCCTCAAGATTCCCCGAATCTCGTCCCTTGAGGCCCCTGGAGACCGCTGAGAAGGGCTGCCGATCTGCGTCTGACGTTGCCCCGATAGTTCCAACCACATGGCCCTCAGGACAACCCTCCTCTTCCCCTCCCCCCCTCATATTTAAGATTTTTATATTTTAGGTTTTGGGGGTTTTTTTGTGGAAGGAGCGAGGTTGTCGCTTGAGATTGGGAGCGGAGACTCCTCCTGCCTGTTTAGTTTTAGAATAGAATAGAATAACAGAGTTGGAAGGGACCCTGGAGGTCTTCTAGTCCAACCCCCTGCCCAGGCAGGAAACCCTACACCACTTCAGACAAATAGTTATCCAACATTTTCTTAAAAACTTCCAGTGTTGGAGCATTCACAACTTCTGGAGGCAAGTTGTTCCACTGATTAATTGTTCTAACAGGAAATTTCTCCTTAGTTCTAAGTTGCTTCTTTCCTTGATTAGTTTTCCATCCATTGCTTCTTGTTCTACCCTCAGGTCCTTTGGAGAATAGCTTGACTCCCTCTTCTTTGTGGCAGCCCCTGAGATATTGGAACACTGCTATCATGTCTCCCCTAGTCCTTCTCTTCATTAAACTAGACATACCCAGTTTAAAAGGGAACGGGTGTGCTTTAAAAAACAAAACAAAACAACTGCACAATTCAAAGCAAAAACAGGATAGGATGGAGTGAGTGAGTGAGACTCAAGGGCTTGGGTTTTGTCAGGGTATAAAGTTGTGCTCTAGGGTGGTTGCTTGTTTCGAAGTTCCTTTGGGGCTGAGTTGAGAGGGTGTTGTCAGTACAGGTAGTCCTCGACTTACGATCACAGTTGAGCCCGGAATTTATGTTGCTAAGTAAGAAATTTATTGAATGAGTTTTTAAGGCTTATCACAGTTATTAAGTGAATCACTGCAGTTGATAATTTACTAACACGGTTATTAAGTGAATCTGGCTTCCCCATTGACTTTGATGGCCGGAAGCTCACAAAAGGGGATCACAGGACCCCAGGACACGGCAATCATAAATATGAACCACTTGTCAAGCATACGAATGTAAATCACGTGACCCTGGAGATGCTGCAAAAGTTGTAAGTGTGAAAAATGGTCATAAGTCACTTTTTCCAATGCTGTTGTAACTTTGAACAGCCACTTAAGGAACTGTTGTAAGTCCTGATAATGAAGAATGGTTTTTAGGGGCTGAGCTTGCAATAGATTGTTTTAGCCCTCTGTAATGCAAAAGAATTCAGCCAAAACAGTAATGAGAACTTGGTTAGCTCTGTTTGGGGACTTTAAGCTTAATGTTATTAAATTAGATTGGGAAAGGGAAATGCTGGCATTTATGAGGGAAACACTCTAGGAAATGTGTGTGGAGAGTCATGGAATGTGGCTAGACCTTCCTGCTATACGAATATATTTAATGCAGTAAATCTCAGAGAGATCTAATGCTGAAAAGACCCATGCAAGTAATTTGCTTTGATTTTCTGCCAGATTACAAGGAAAGGAGTAGTTACAAAAGGATGCACATGTGGTTGATTAAAGTGGACTTTTTTGAGCTGAATGAATGCTTCCATCTTTAAAAAGTAGCAGTGCCTTGGGTAGTACATGGAACTATCCATTGCTTCTTATGGTAGATCTAAAGACAAGCAGACACCTTGTAAAATTCTTTCTGCTAAAATGAAGTTTTAAAATTAAGATGTTGTTTTTAGCCCATTCTGATTTTGTGCACTAGAATGTGAAACTTCTGGGTGTTGTCCATAAAGAAGGTGCTGCAAATGTGACTGACATGAATCCTATTACGATTGTGAAATTTGCTGATTGAATTACATTTTTATTTTAATAAATGCTGCTTTTAAATAAGAGGTTTCTTCACGAGTTGAGAAATAGATTTCCTAATGCATGTACACTGTGCTTTTTATTAGTCTGTCAATCACCATTTGGTATGTAGAATTCTGATATTTTGTGTGATTTTGTTACTGGCCATAGTTATGAGTCAAATAATAACATTTGACAACTGAAGGCTGTGTTTTGTAGGGAAGACAAAACTCTTGCTGGTTCTGGTGTCTGGAAAACATAAAATGTACTCTCTTCCCTCTTGCTCAGCTTATTTATAGGTATGATATTTGCTTGATACTTCTGCTTTAACAGAATGGTAATTTAAAAGAATGTATTTAAAGTGTGCAACTGTAAGGAAGATTGAATATTTACTATACATGCATTATGAAAAGTGGTCCTTGTTTTAGCCAGCTGAGAGAAAATAGTGTGAAATTTACCTTTGGGTAGAAATCCATAAGATCAGTGTTACATAGTTTTCAGCTGTAAGAGAGTCATTTCTAAAGAAGGTTTAAACGTTGACCAACATTTTGAAACTGATTTCTTGACAGAAATAGGTAGAAAGACAGCAAGCCAAATCTAGGAAAACAGCTTCACATCTACATATTCTGTAAGACTGTGATACAGGACTGTTTTCATGAAAAAAGGCTGTGTGTTCTGAAATACATTTTTCTGTACTGACAGATGGCATAATCAAATCAAAGAGAGATAAAGCTAGACTTAACCATGGAGAAGTGTCAAACTCACAGCCGTGGGCTGAATGCGTCACACGCTGGCCATGCCCACCCCTGTTTTAGCAAAGGGGGAAAAGTCACAATATGTCATGTGACAACAACATGATACCGTGAGTTTGACACCCCTGTTCTATATTGTTTTAATACACCAAGTGAATTACAATAGAAATTACAGGTACCTAGGACAGTACTAATAATGATGAAGAATAAAAATTGACTTTTCAACTATTTCAACTCAATGTTTCATCCATTTCCATATATTAAAAAGCTGCAATATACTTATAATGACATTGTGGTGATCTAGGCCTCACAGAAATCACATCAGCAGTTAAATTTGTTTGTAATGTATGTAATTTGAAGTCCACAAGCATTGTGTTTTTTTAAAATTCAGCATCTAGTGAAATTTTGCATTCTGAGAAATTTTGCATACATTATATATTAAATATTCAGCACAAATAAAGCAGGCCTTGTGTGGGCTTTGAAAATGACAAATGTGAAATTAGGTTGCTCAACAAGGTGGCACAATAATGTATCTATAATGGCATTGTTTAGAACCAACAATTTACTTAATGTACACAGTTTGCTTTTCCTTCATTTTGTAGGAGAACTAAAGCAATCCTATTTTTTAAAAACCAGCAGTTGCTTAGGTACACAGAAATTTCTCAGAATCTGTTTTATCTACTAGAATGTGCTTTAGAGATCATGAAGATTCACCCTCTAAAAGTGTTAGATCCCATCATAAATGCACTCTTGCATAAATAACATATCCAAGCTTCTTGCCTCTCAGCACAGATTTCTTCTAATTTCCAACCTCCTCTATCGGTGTCAAACTGGTGGCCCATGGGCTAGATGCATCACATGCAGGCCATGCCCACCCTTGCTTCGCAAATGGGAAAAATGTCACGAAATATCACATTATGGCAATGTGATGCTGCGAGTTTGACATCCGTGTCCTATATTGTCATTGTTCAGTCTCTTAAGTTGTGTCCAACTCTTTGCAATCCCATGAACCATAGCACACCACGCCCTTTTGTCCTCCATTGTCTCCCGAAGTTTGCCCAAATTTATGTTTATTGCATTTATGACACTATCTAACTTTCTCATCCTCTGCCCTCCCCTTCTTCTTTTGCCTTCAATCTTTCCTGACATCAGGATATTTTCCAGTGAGTTCCTCTCTTCTTATTAAGCGGCCAAATATTTGAGTTTCAGCTTTGGTATCCGTTCTTCCAAAGAACAGTCAGGGTTGATTGCTCCCATATAACCAAGCTCTTTTCCCGTTGTGTTGTATGGGATCCTTTTTAATGGGATCAAATCCTTTGGCTATGCATGTTTACCTATGTGCTTGCTGATAGTTATTTTCCATTGATAGATTTAGGAACTGCTAATACTGCAAAACTATTTGAAATTTCAGTATGTAGGTGCATATCTGTTTACACTTAATTAAAGTAAAGTTAATTTTTACATCTAAATCTTTGGACGGCTATTTTCATCAGGAAATTTTAGGGGGGTCTGAGTTCTCTCTC